GGGAAATTAAATTAAACGTCTGTATGCATTCACGCTTGCACCTCCAGATATCCTGCTGGCTTACAGCGGACTGTAGACTAGCTCAGATCTCTCATCAATCACTCGATCACTGTTTTACCATTAATCAGTGCTTGAAGAAATCAGTCTTCTGAGTGTGTGCGCAGTTTCTTATCTTACCAATACGCTTTACACCTGTTAGTGAATGCGATTCTCTCCTCTCACTGTGTATTTATCACAATGGATGTTGACTCCTGTAACGAACATCGGTTGGTTCTCCTTCATGTTTCACTCGTCTTTTCAATCGCTTTGCGCAAGCCTAAGTTTCAAAGATTTTTCGAGTGCCAACTAGCGGTATAGCGCAGTTTTCACTAGACCGAAAATCTGTCACTGACGTCATGCACCAATCTTACTAGGCTGGTTTAGTTTTAGTTTATACAAATCAGCATTAGTATTCCGGATTTGAGAACAAAAAAGAAGGTAAAGACTAAAATACGTGCGCATGCAAAATCGGGCTCATTTTTTTCGTCTGCTGCACATATGGAAACGTAATAGACTCAGGGGAAGTGATCTCAATGTCTTCTCTGCACAAACACGCATAGATGCGCGTAACAGAACCCCAATTAACCATACTTTTAACACCGTAGCGTTCTCTTTGTTTTGTTCCCATTATTCACTCAGTTCTGTTTCCGGACGAGGCCACAAAAAGTCTTTGTTGCTGGGACTCGCGAAATGCAGATCGTCAAAGGCTGCTTGCATTAAGTAAGTAACCTTATCGTCCGTTGTCACACAGTCACATGTGGAGTGAAAAATGACAAGATTCTTCTCGAACTGCCCATACATTCATCTTTTAACCGATCGGTCGCCTTTTGCCAACACTGCATACTCCAGCTTTGAACAGCCTGTACATAGTCCGTTGGCTGAAACAAAAATATGTTTCAGTCGTTAAGCTGTCGTATTGACCAATACAAAATGGTTTCATGTGCGTGTCCAAAAACTGGACTCATCCGCTTCCGGTGATAGTAATTATCAATGGGGTTTTCAGGATCGATATTGGTATTGGGCGAATGCGGTTTACTTTTGTCCAACTGGCAGAATCGGCTAGTTTCATGATTAAATATTTCGATTATCGAATGGCTGGATACTTAATTAATGCACTGGTGACTTTTATATATGTTTTTACTCAGATAGTTTTGATTGTCAATAAGGCGTTGAACCTGCAGGGTGGGCTTAATGTTGCCATATTCATGATAAAAGCATCACACCAGAAAAATCAAAGAGGTAAGCTTCAGACCGTTGTTTGAGTAGCTCTATTAAGAATTTTCGTATACTTACATTTCTTCCCAAACGCACTCTCACCCGACAATCGCACAGACGAACATTTGCGGCCGAAACCACAATATTGATTATGTATTTCTTCAGTTCATTCCCCCTCTGGCTCTATTTTCATCCGAAACAACTCTCTTTTACAGAAGCCACCCATCTTCAGTTTCTCAATTATTCTCCTCACACTTCATTCATCCCCAAATCTGGTGTTTATGCTTTAATCCATCCTTCAATTGCTTCTTCCCTGTTCTCCCGTTTGAACCTCGCCAACCACGAATACCGGACTATATGGCTGGAAATTCTGTTCCCTGCTTTCATTCACTATTTCTGCACTGTATAAAGTCAAAGCTTCCCCAAATATTAGTGACTTTTCACTCTGGTATTTTATCGCAAATATTGGTAGCATTGTTGAAGCTGACCCCAAAGCTCGGATCACAATTTTGGGTGATTTTAACGTCGATAACAGGGATCGGCTGTGACACTTCAGGGACATCGCTCCTTGGACGTGAAACAAAATCATGTGCCCCAACGAGCAACCTCCACCACCTGGCTGATTTCCAGAACGTGCTGGCGTCCACGCTCATGCCGTCAATTTTGTCCTCACATCCCGGGTGTCCTGCTAATCCGAAACCCAAATGGAACTATCCAGAGAGGAGTATACAGAAAACAAAAATGGACGGGACAAAATGTAAGTTTCAATAGCTCTGTGCAATTGAGACGAAAAGGAAACCTAGTGCGATGCTTAGCTAGGAGGGCACGGAAAATTTCGTCTCTCAACGCCGTAGCAGAAGAACCAGAATACATCAACAAATGTCCTCGCGGGAACGATTAACCGGACAGCTTCATAGATAAACATCGAACAGGGAGACCCGCGAGACCGGTAATGCACAAGGTCAATAGGAAAACACTCTTACAACGACCTTTCAAAGCTGATAACGCGGCTTAGTGGCTTACACAACAAATCAATCAAGCATTTACAACAGGTGAATTTCGCATGGATTTCATCACGTTCTCAGCAATACTGTTCCATATCAAGGATAAACTGCCCCTTAGGCTGTATCCATGTACGTTTACGCGTTCAATTGCTCCTGTGGAACGAGCTACATCGACCGAACTACGAGGCAGCTATAAAAGAGGACACACGGACACCACTGCGGCTGGTTGAGATACGGTGAAACTAGGGTGGCAAATAGTGCTATCTGTCAACACATTAGATACACGACACAGCTATTCTTGATCAGGCTTTCCGCATCAATTATCACGCTGTCATCTCTGCCAAAACGACTTCGGTTTATCATTCTGTGTGCAGCCGAGGCGATAGCTATCCAAACATTAGATCCCCCTATGCAGACAAAAACAGATCATTCGGTCTTAAGCCTTGCCATGACCTCGGATGAAGAAAACCAACTCACCCCCGGGGTAAGCACTGATGACCTAACCGAGATGTGGATCAGGTAAACAACCTTAAAATATTTTCCGTACTAAGTTTGATGCGATCAACATCAGACAAGTGTAATGGTCGGTTAATGATTTTATCAAACAACAGCTTGTTCTGCAGAATGGTTTAACTACGGCTACTGTCGCGCCGTTCGCGAAAAAGAAATCAGCGTTCCCCCGCTGGCGTCGTTCACCCTCCCCCGGTCCCGCCGATTGTTCTTGCAAGCACGAACAAGTGTACGACCATCATACAGAAATCTAAGGAGCATTTCGTTGGGTGCAAAGCAGTAAACTTAGCAACCGCTCCTTCTGGAAGGCGGACGTTCTGGCCCCTTGCTAAGATAGTCTCCCCTGACTTCTGTTCTACTAACTTCCCACCCATTGTTAAACTATTTGGCGACTTAGTGTCTAACCCGCTTGAAAAGCCAATGTTTGCCTCTCATTTTGCTTCCAGTTCTACGCATTCAACCCTCCACATACCCTACAGCGAACCATCTTTTCACACCACTCATTTCCACCAGAAAGATACGTCAGTTCTTCTTATTACTGGACCCGACGGGATTCCTCCTACCGAACTCAGAATGTGCTCCCCAGAACTGAGCTCTCTCCTACGACGCTTGTTCTCTATATCCCTCGACTCCCGGGTTCGCCGAAGCAGATACCGAGTGGAAAAAAGCCAAGGGTGGTCAAGCTAAGACCTAGCACGAGGGTATGAAAACCCTAACCAGGAAACTGGGTCACATAGGTCCTGTTGGATGATGGTCACCGATGGTTAGCTACACTGAGTGATATGGCTGGGTGTCGCAAACAGTGGTCACCGATGGTTAGAGACACTGATTGATATGGCTGGGTGTCGCAAACAGTGGCGCTCGTGCTATGAAAACCCTAAGCAGGTAACTGGGTCACATAGGTCCTGTTAGGCTCCCTGGCTGGGGACCTCGGGATGATCGTAACCGAAGGTCACATAGGTCCTGTTAGGCTCCCTGGCTGGGGACCTCGGGATGATCGTAACCGATGGTCAGAGACACTGAGCAATATGGCTGGGTGTCGTAAACAGTGGCGTTCGTCCATCTCCTCAATTTCTTTGCAACCTTATTGTCGTAAACAGTGGCGTTCGTGCATCTCAATTTCTTTGCAACCTTAGACCACTGAACTTCTCCATTTTCCTTTCGACTCCACTTTCAAGTTTCCTATTCTTCATCCAAATGGGCAGCCAAAAGACAGCAACCAAAACTGACGCTCGAATATGCGTGGTTAATGGTTGTTCAAACTGAAACTGAAACCCGAGTTTTCCCAATCCCATGGAAAACATCAAAAATATTTACGACTACAAACCCAAACAGCTGCCCCATTACATTAGTTATTCCGAAGGGTATTGAATCAGTCATTGCCGATCACCTCCGTCGCCAGCTGGAGCAGAATAAGAGGTTTGGCGACGATCAGTACGGTTTGGATCTCATCGATTTACCAGCGCTTATCTC